TTAACTTTGGCCTCTCAGTATATTTACGAAAATTTAATGTATGTTCACAAAAACAAAGATAGTTTTAGTAAAAAAAGTGATATACATTCTGTAAACACTAGGAACAAACACAAGCTAGTGATGCCAGTTTCTCGACTCCACAGAGTCAGTAATTCATTCTTGGGGCAATGTATACGCTATTACAACAAGGTCCCGGAAAGTGTACAGGTTCTCTCTATTACCAAGTTTAAATATTTTATTAAGCTGAAACTGTATAAAAAGGGTTATTATAGTATAAATGAATACATGGTTGATAATAACCCCTGGAAATGAGGTGGTCGCTTCCAAGCAGTTTCTAAAATAAATTTTGTAAATAGTTCGTAATCATTTATATTGTGGCGGGTGGAAGGAAAAGGGGAGATCTCTTCCTCGCGCCATCGATATAATGACGCGAGTATTTTCGCCTCTAGGTCCCACGGCGGGGATCCGGCTAGGACGCAAGCCGCCTCGTAGGAAATCGTGCGGAACCAACTTGTGTCTGAAGTCGAGTCTTTGCTGGACAAAGTCTCGGATTGGGGGCGACTAAATCTAGTCCAGTTTAATCCTCAGAAGACACAAGTTTGCGCGTTTACCGCTAAAAAGAACCCCTTTGTCGTATCTCCTCTGTTTCAAGGTACTCCCCTTGTTGCCTCAGCCAGTATCGGAATCCTCGGCGTCGATATATCGAGTGACGTGCAGTTTCGTGGTCACTTGGAAGAGAAGGCCAAATTGGCCTCTAAAAAGCTTGGCGTGCTCAGCAGAGCGGGACAGTATTTCATGCCAGCTCAACGCCTACAACTTTACAAAGCGCAGGTTCGGCCTTACATGAAATACTGTTCCCATCTCTGGGCTGGGGCTTCCCAGTGCCAGCTCCTTCCACTTGACCGCATCCAGCGCAGAGCGGCTCGAATCGTCGACGACCGAGTCCTTTCTGATCGGCTCGACTCATTGGCACTGCGAAGAGATGTTGCATCTCTTTGCATTTTCTTTCGCATTTACCATGGGGAGTGCTCTGAGGAATTGTTCCGATTAATCCCAGCCGCCAAATTTCACGAACGCACATCGCGGCAGAACTCCCGATACCATCCACACCATCTGGATGATTGGCGGTCCACCACTGTGCGATTTAGAAGATGTTTTCTTCCTCGCACAACTTCCTTGTGGAATAGTTTACCACCAGCGATTTTTCCGGACCGATACGACTTAGGGAACTTCAAGAAAAGAGACTACTCCTTTTTAAAAGGCCGGCAACGCATCTGCAATTCCCCTGGTGTTGCGGTTGTTCATGGGCGGCGGTAGTCACTTACCATCAGGTGAGCCGCATGCTCGTTTGCCCCCTCTCCTATAAAAAAAAGATACCCGCGGACGACTCCGACGGCCATCGCCCCCTGCGATTTGCGCAGAATGGCGAGAGTGCTGGCCGTCATGTCCATCGCCCACACAGGGGCCCCATACAGGGCCATGGACCGCACGATTCGACAGCTATCCGGGCCCCACTGACCACGTTGTGTGATCCCGGCGGCGGCGCGCGTCGAGAGTCATGGAATACCATGGCATCCGACTTGTTTAGGGCCACCTCCAGGCCCAGGCGCCGGATGCGATTCACCGCTTGTGACACCGCAGCCGTGGCAACCAACGCTGCTTCCTTGTTCGAGCTCCCCCGAGGAGTGACGAGCGTGTCGTTCGCATAACACCTCAAGTCGGCGCCCGACGGGAGTTCACCTCTCAGTACCCAGTCGTAGCAGATGTTCCACAGGAGCGGTCCCAAGACCGATTCCTGCGGAACACCGCACGACATGTCGCGCCGACCAGCGCCGTCACGTCCCCGATACGTAACGCATCTCTCCTCAAGGTAAGCCTCTATTGTGCGGCGGAGGTAGGGAGGCACGCGATGGTAAATCAGCGCCTCCCGAATACAACTCCAGGGTAGGGTGTTGAAGGTGTTAACCTAACCTAACCTAACCTTTTTTTTTACATGGGAACCCGTTCGTGGGGAAACAATTTTACCTAACCTAACCTAACCTAACCGGTATACTCCTAACGGCCACCACTAAAACAGGCACCAGTGGTGGCCGTTAGAATAACTCATTAATTATACGAGTTGGACGTTGGGACATTAAAAATAATATTTATTTTCAGTATTTTGTCAATGTAATCTAACTATAGCAAATGTATCTATTATTAACTAACAGATTGCTTCTAGGTAATGTTAATTCAACAATTTGTGACTGGTCATTTTATTCGGTTTACTACTTAATTAACTAGTCAAATTTTATTAATTTTTTCACTCACTGACTGACCGATCATCAAAACTCTAAGGCACTTCTAGCAGGCATAGAAGTTTCAAATTTGGAATAAAATATTTTACAATTTCGGTTCAGTTTTTGAGATACACCAACTGCATAAATAACTTTGTAATCCCATATAAATATATAGGAGTACAAAGTTACATTTGCAGTGAATGAATCAGTGTAATATATATATATATAATATAATGGAATAATATGTGTAAATAGCTACCTAGATATAACTATCTACAAAAAGAAATGAGATGGCATCAGAAACATATCATGTGGTAAAGTGAAAAAAAGAAAGGATACAGGCGGTTCAAAAAAACAATTTAGACCAATTTAATAAAAATGCTTTAATAAAGCGAACAACACCACAATAACAGCTTATGTCAGTTATCTAATAGCATTAATTAAAGTACAATTTTAAACACTATTAATTACAACATAATTAATTAGGAAAAATTTTAGAAGTAGGTACGTCTTATTGCACATTTGGTTTTTCTTTAAAACGTGTCATTACTCATCTCATTAGTATAGATTTTTATTAGCCATTCGTTTTCGACAACCAAATTGTATTCTCCAAACTCATTTCATAAAAATAATATGCAAATATAGACAAAAATAGTTGACCGTTTGCGTAACAGCATAATACAAGTCCACTGCTGAATATAAGCCACAGCCATAGATTGCCTCGAAGTGAGGATATTTTCCATAGTTGCCACGCTTGGCAGGCGGTTTGGCGCCTGTAGTTTTTATTTTTATTTAAAACTGTTATTAGGAAAACGCTGCTGCCCATCTCCTGGTTTATTTCTCACTGACGGTTCTTACGACACCTGTGGGATGATACGGGGTAGTGGATATTTTTATACCTCGACTATACAGGATTAAACAAAAATAAAATAACTAATAATTTATTTATAAATTTGAGTAACATTAATTTACTGAAACAATTACTGATTTCAAGTCGAATAAGAGTTGCTTCGATTGACAAACATGAACTTTTTGTACATAAAATAAATATTTATGAACAGGTGTAACATGTCACATATTACATAACCTATGATAAGCAACAAAACTATGTATTATGAATATGTAATGTAATTACACAATTTAAAATAAATAACAAAAGCTGCTGCATTGCGCATTTCTCTATTTCAAAAACAAAAGAGTTTCCGGATAGCAATAGAGACTTTATGAACTTCTTACATACGCGCCCAATTGAAATGTGACGTAAGACAAATAAAGAAAATGCGTAAAAGAACATATTTATGTATTTGAAATCTTAAGTTCGATAGCTTATTCCGTCGAGTTACACAAAATTTTCCTACTTACTGATTGACTGAGACAATTATATTTACGCCAATTATATTTACGCTCTTTTAATATACTTTAATAATAGACTAGGAATCTCGAATAGGTGCATTTATCATATATAAAGGTAATAAACCACTTATCACCGATCAATAAACATGTACGGATGTAAAAGTAAAAAATAAAAATTAAGTCCATAGATTTAAATACAATCGACTTTGCAAATATTATACTTATTACATAAATATACCTTTTTTTTATTTGAAATCGTCAACGGATGCGTAGACACTGAACATGCTAAATTTATTGCTTATTGTAATATGGCACTTGGGAGCCTCGATCTACTTATGCGAGACTGAGGAAGTAGAAGGCCAGCAGCGCGAGAGCGTAGAACGCGCCACTGACGGCGAGTAGCGTGCGCACGGCGGCGCGCTGCCGGGCCGCCCGCCCCCGCCGCCGCCCCGCTCCCCGCGCCGCTCCCCGCTCCACCGTCAGTCCCGCCACCACGTTGTTGTAGCGCTCCGTGTTGAGCACCTTGCGGCGCAGCGCCTTGCCCGCCGTCTTGTCGCCGGTCGCAGCCGCGTCCGCCACGTTGGCGCCGAGCGGCGGCGTCTCCTTCGCCAGCGCGTCGTACGCGCGCTCGTGCGCCGCGCCCGCCGCCTCCTCGTCGGGCAGCGCGAACTCTGGCCGCGGCGCCTCCGACGCCGCCGAGCGCGCCGGCGACGGGGCGCGGGCTCGCGGCTCTCGCGCCGCCGAATTGCGACGCGGCGCCGGCGCACCGTGTGTCGCGCCGCCCGCCGGTTGCCGGTAGTCCGGCGCGAGCGCACGCGCGCGGTACTCGCCAGTCGCCGCCTCGCCAAATCGCGGCGCCGTCGACACGACGAATACGCGAGGGACGTCGTGGCGGCGGCGAACGAGTGGTGCGTATCTAGGATTTGGCGCGACTGGGCGCTCGCTCGCTTCCCGCAACAGGCCCGCGTCGGCCGCATTCCGTGAGGTCGAAGCTCGTAGCGGCATGTAGTGATGCGAGCACGGCGGACGGGCGCGTTCGATGGAGTCGACGAGCGGCGAATCTGTGAGGCGAGCGTGCAGCGGCAGACCGTAGCGGAAGTAGCGGTCGCTATAGACGACCGTGGCTAGTGCGCCGCCGCGGCCCTGCAGCAGGTTATAGACGGCGCACGACAGACGGTCGTGAGCGCGGTCGCGGGGGCGGGGGCGAGGACGGGCGCGCGGGCGGGCGGCGCGGCGCGGCAGCAGGCGGCGCAGCGCGGGCGCGCGGCGCGGCGCCGGCTCGTGCGGCTCGTATGGCTCGGCGTACAGCGGCGCGCGGAGCCGCGGCTCGGCGGCGCGCGCGGCGTGGCGCAGGCGGCGCGGCCGGCGTCAGTCCGCCGGCGCCGGCGCGGCGGGGCCCAGCGCGCGCCGCGCCAGCTCCAGCTCGTGCAGCGCCTCCAGCGCCGTGCCCGAACTCCAGGCCTGCGAGCGGCACGAGTCCGCGCAGTACGCGCCGCCCGCGTTGCACAATTCGGGCACGCCGCGCCACGGCGACGCACGCAGCTCGCTCACGAGCGGCGCCAGTGCCGCGTACGATGCGGCCACCGTCTTCGCGTACACACCGTTCTCCTGTGCGAACGCGAGACGCGCCCGCAGATAGAACCCGAGCGGCCACACCCATTCGGGGCCCTGGTGATAGTTGTATCCGTGGGCGACGTTCGGGTCGTCGCTATTGTTCGAGTTGTCGTAGTCGCCGCGGTACGCCCAATCGGCCGGGTCGAGCGTCTTCAGGCCGAGCGGGCCCAGCAGCAGCCGCTCGACGTTGTCGAGCGCAAGCCAAGCGTGCTTCGGGTCGAAGAGTTCGGGCGCGACGGCCATGGCGACGGGGAAGTTGCAGCGCAGCTGGTAGTCGGCCCAGGGGCGCGTGGCGCCGTGCGTGTCCTTGTAGATGGCGCGGCGGTGCACGAGGTCGGGACGCAAGTCGGCGGCGCTGGGCGCGGCCGGCACCCAGAAGAAGCGCTCAAAGTTGCGGCGGATGCGCTCGGCCCACTGCGCGTAGGTCCAGGCGGTGAGCGCGCCGCCGCGGTGGCGCCGCGCCACGCCGGCGTGCGGGAAGCGCGCGGCGCGGTGCTGGGCCGCCAGCCAGGCCGCCACGCTGTAGGCGAGCGCCACCAGCTCCACGGCGCTGCCGTCGCGCGGCGTGGCCGGCCGCCCGCGCGTGCCCGCCGCCTCCGACGAGCCCATCTTGTCCATCCAAGTGCCACAATTGTAATCGTTACCCCCAAACGGGAATCCGGTCTCGGGGTCGATACCGATTTGCACGTTGAATCCTTTATCTGTCATGTGGGCGTCGATGGCGCGCCCGGCGTTTCGCTCTCGGAACACAAGGCCCTGAAATATGATTAGAGGTTTAACTCGATTGCTCGCTATTGGCTCGCAGGATACGGTGAAGGAGATCGAGTTTCACCTGAAAGTGCGTGTCAAGCGCCTCCTGCATGACGTCGTACAGCGGCTGTGTGCGGGGCGCGGGCTCCCCGTCGCGCGCGAACAAGCGTGCCACCGGCTCGCCCAGCAGCGCATAGCCTTGCGGCGCCTCGCTGCAGTACTGCGCAGGCCATATCGAACTTTGAATTAGTCTCAGAACGTCTTTCGTCAGATTTCGAAAACACCGCGTGACGTAAAAGATGGTCTCTTAAAATTATTCTTTAATGATATAAGACAAACCACTTGCAGTTGCACTCTAACAATCATTATTAAATAATAGCAAAAACTGTGTTCGAGAAAATTTAGACATGTGAGTGAGTACTTTACGATGAATTCAAGAAATGTTTGCATGTAGTATATCAAAATTAACACGTATTCTTTGTTAAACAATGTGACAAATATGCTGGACTACGAATGGAACGATGTCGCACTGTGCCACACGAATGGTCTAAAATTTAGTTTATTAATTATATTGTAGTATTTAGAATTTTACCTGTTTTATACTTTGCAACCACCACCAGACCGCATCACGACAGTTGAAGCGAGCGTTATGACCGCCATCTAGCAAATTAGGTATGAGCCCATGTCTTAAGCAAGCAGCGTACGCCAGGATGTGGGCTCGTGCGTCCTGAAAGCGGAAACTGTTAGTAAAATAACACCGAATTGAGGCGTAATTATATCTATTTTTAACTTAATGACTGACTTAATAAATGAATCTCTGGACGACGCGGCAATAAAATTTTTGACCAAAGGTATGAATTTCGGAATAACGCTGCGAAGAATCCCGTGTGAACATATTATCTGTAGTATTGAGGATTGTCTGTATAAAAATAATATCGGTAGTATTGAAGATTTAAGGATGATTCACGCTACAACGTGGCGCGGCCGGGCCGTGCCCCGGCCGGGGCACGGTCAAATATTATGGTGTACTTTTTGTATGAAGCGATTCATGCCTGACCGTGGCCCGGCCGTGCCCCGGCCGTACGCCGCCGGGACTCGGCCGGGGCACGGCGTTGAAATGTCGGTGGGTATTGTTTCCCGGCTCCGGCACGGTCCGGCCCCGACACGTTGTAACATGAACATATGCGCCCGGGCGCCCGGAGAGCAGTCAACGTCAAATCTTAATGAAGTGAACAGCTCAACAGCAAAATGGACGATGAAAAATTATTAGAATGTGTGCGCAAGTACCCTGTGATTTACGATATGAGCCATCCTAAGTATTTAGATAACAAATACAAAAATATTATTTGGAAAACCATTTCGGACGAAATAAAACAATCTGGTAAGTTGTAACTTTTATTTCAATTTACATTTATAATAGTTATTCAAGTGTCACTAATTACTTTACGACAACATGTAAGTACATGTGAGTGGGATTATCGGTTTTTAGTAGGTATTTTAGAATATGTTAGGTAAATTATAAGAAGTATATTATAGTGTAAGTATGTATTTATTCTTGATACTGTTGTCCTATAAAATTACGTCCCGCTGTTGACGCTAAATATTCTTTAAACGTTTCTCTTACCGCAAATGCATCATTAGCCGGTCTTCCTGGTTGAACGCTCAATGGATTTAATAAATGTGGTTGCGCATTTTGTGCACTATGATTGATAAGCCCTGTGTAATCTTTTTGTTCGCATAAAAAATTATGCAGTACGCATGTAGATAGAATAATGTAATCAACATTTTCTGGAGCAAGTTTCATTCTTCTTTGAAATATTCTAAATCTTTGTGTCAAAATACCAAAGGCATTTTCGACTAGTCGCCGGGCCAAAGACAGTCTATGATTGAAATTCGTTTTATTAGCGTCACCTGTTGCTTGGTGTCCTGGATACGGTCGCATTAGGTATGTTTTCAAAGGAAACGCTTCATCACCAACTATTACATATGGTGCAAACGTAGAGGAACCGGGTAAATTTTTACCAATAGGTACATGAAGCGTCCCATTTTCTAAACGTTTTCCAAGATTACATTGTGCAAAAATGCCACCATCACTGTTTCGTCCGTAAGCGCCAAAATCAACTGCAATAAATTTGTAGCATGCGTCCACTAACGCCAATAAAACAATTGAGAATGTGTGTTTATAATTAAAATATATAGAACCACTATTGGCTGGGGCTTTAATAACAAAATGTTTTCCATCCAATGCGCCTATACAATTTGGAAAACCTCTAAGCTTTTCAAAATCTTCGGCAATTTTACGCCACATTTCTTCTGTTGGTTCTGGTCTTTCTTAAATCTATTAACGATAGATCGACATGTGCTATGTACAATTTAGGTCACAGTTGAATGCCCCAATCGAAAACTGTACAAAATAGTTTTAAACGAATCCCCAGTAGCCAGGAACCTGAAAAAATAATAATGGTATAATTTCGCGGTATCTGTGTACTACAGTGAGCTATTACGTATTAACAGTACCATTTATACAGGTTGTACAGAAAATTACTTAACTTGTTCATTCTATACTATCTTTTTGCAGATGATGTATGTAAAAAAAGGTGGGCAAACATACGGGACCAGTTCAAAAAACATAGAAACAAACGTAAAACCAAGAGTGGACAGGGTGTTGTGGCAATAAAAAAATATAAATATGAAGAGAGCTTGAATTTTTTACTGCCTCATATACAGGATCGAAATACAATAACAAGTATCGAGTCTGAGAACGAAGAGACGCAAAACGAAACGGTTACTTCGCCAGTTACTACGCCCAACGAAACAATTAACACCGATGAACAGCAGCAGCAGGAAGATCGCTCACCAGCTATTAGTGAACCAAATTTTACGCCACCTGCTGATCCGAATCCATATCCCCCGTCAACTGCACAATTCACTCGTTCCGGCAACCGCAATCGCAATGCAACCGTTGCAACTGCACACAATCGCCGTCGTATAGTGCCACAATCCCAGTCCTCTGCGTCAAGCGCATTAATGGAATACATTCTAAAAAATAAAGAAAAGTCCAACACACAAGACATTCATCCTATTGATGCTTTCTTCAACGGTTTGGCAGCCACCATAAAATCTTTTTCCCCTTACTATCAGCATCTTGCAAAAGGAAGAATATTTGCAGTAGTACAAGATTTGGAGTGGGAGCAATTGTCATCAGAGCCTTCTTCTTACACATCTCCAATGAGTGGAACAACGTCAGCGTCGTCTACTAATTCAAGGTCGGTGTATGCACCGGTTCCGATGACTACACCAACGCCAACACCGGAATCAACGCCTACGGAACCTACGCCTTCGGAACCTTCGCCTTCGGAACTTACGCCTTTGGAATCTAATAATTTGTCTACTTTATTTTCAGAGTTCACGGCAGACTAATGAAATGAATAAATACTATGCGAATTATTTAAATTTTTACTTTTTTTCATTCACAATGCAATTTTGATCATTGAAAAATTGAAAATGAAGTATTTAGAAAAAATCGACCCATCTTACAACCAGCTCTGATAGATGGTTGTGAGACGGGTCAATTTGTAATACTACATTTTTAAATACTATGTGATTTAGTGCATATCAATTTATTATTTACCTGATGCAGACTGCTAATCGTTCGATGGGAGATATAGGCTTTTGAAATCTTGTAATTTTTTTGGTTAGGTCTGGTTTTACTTTTTCAAGTAAAAAAGTAAAGCATTCTTTAGACATTCTAAAATAACCATAAAACTTGCTCTCATTATCTATTAATTCTTTGTAAAGTAAAGCAAATTCTCCTTCTGCTTCTCGCTTTCTCCAGGTTGGATGTACACCCCATCTTCTTTTAGTAGTGTCGCTTCGTTTTTCCAATACTTCATCATCGATGGCAATTGCAATAGCTGCCAATTCAAATTGTGAAAATTGCATATTTATGTAAGCGTGAAGTCTATCGACAGATGAAATCACTAGCTGACAAAAACCACATAACACAGAGTCGTGCATAAGCCACGGTCGTTCAAACAGCCCGGTGTAACATGAATGACTGGCCCGGCCAGCGCACGGTGGACGTGTCCCGGCCGGGCACGGCCCGGTGGCGACACGTTGTAGCGTGAATCATCCTTTAGAGGCCATACGTCAAGACATTTCGTCTATGTTACGTCGAAGCTCAGCGCCGAAATTAAATCTTCTCAAAGATGAATTTAATGCATTGAAAAACTTACGCAACATACCAGATCTCACGATTCTCCGCGCAGATAAATGTAATGCTACAGTTATAATGGATACGTCGGATTATAATTTTAAAATACAACAACTTTTATCGGATCCGAATCCGTAAAAGTAGTTTTATTCAAAGGTTTTTTTCTTTTCTAGAAGCAACAAATCTTAGTTTTATATTAACTTACTTAAAAATTAAAATTGTTTATATTTTCGGTTTTATATTGTTTGAACTTTGAAATCATTAGCTTTTAACTATTATAATTTATTGATTCCTCGGAAAATAGCGCTTACTTATGTGGATTATGAAAATGTTTACTTTGAAACTCATATTATGTATACAATTAATTGATTTAAATTTTGTTGTGCCCATATTGTGTCAATCCTTAATTGAGAATAATATACCTATATATGAGACTCTTTTACAAATTTATCTATACATATAATAAAAATGTAAATAGCAGATGTCTGTACATTTTATATTTTTGTAATAAAAGTGATTGGGGGGTACTAAAAATAAGTAATTAAATACATTTCTACCATTTTTAGAATTTTCTGTCTGTCTGTCTGTTTGTTTGTTAAAGTATCACGTATAAAGTAATAATTTATATCATAAGAATTGTTAAAGAAATTATAAAGTGTATCTTCGGGTTACATTTAGTCTTTATTTCATTAAAATTAGTTCATTCCATCAAAAGTTATGATAAATATTCTGAAGTATGGGTAGTAATTTGCTCAACGGTGGCTTTGGTTGAGACATCAAGTGCAATTTAAACTAATATCATATCATAAATTATAATTAAATGATGTAAAATAATGTTCTATAATGATATAATTATGTATGTCTAAAACGCAGTAAACAAAAGTATTAAAGAACGTATTAAATACGTATTATATTATATACGTATTATTAGAACGTATTATAAATATATTATACAAAAATATATTAAACTTATTAACTAAATCTAAAGTAGAATAGTTAAACAATTTTATCGATAGATGGTGGTATTGTGCAAATGTAATGCAAAAAGGCAGGTTGTGGTTTTTTCCTGTAGATGAGTTTTCATATTTACTGCAAATCTTTATATTACTCGATGCCCTACTGCGTGTTGATAAACTCAATTTATTCTTTACCGCCGAGTACTCTATGTGGTAAATCAAATTTTAAAGGAGCTATTAACAATTGCGTTGGTTTTGTCGAGGATCAAACTTTCTTTTTTGCTTACTGTGCAGGCACTGATATATAAGTTCTTTTACGTTTTATATAATGTATCAATCGCGTCAATTAATCTCTTTTATTATTAGAATTGATGTTAGCAGCGCCATCTCTCTTTAAATATATACATATAATAAAAATGATGATAACATGTTGTGTCTGTTTCTGTACACTGTATAGTATATTTTTGTGGCTAAAATCATTATGGAGAACTGTAAATAATTAAATAAGTACATTTTTATAATTTTTAGAATTGTCCGTCTGTCTGTTTTTTTTTTATGAACGCATCCCGTCTAAAGTAATCATCTTCTTTTTCAAAGAAATCGTTAAGAAAATCATAAAGCGTATCTTCGAGTTACATTTAATCTTTGTTTTATTAAAATTGGTTAATTCTATCGAAAGTAATGATTATTATTTTGTAATGTAGGTTCGAATTTGTTCAATGGCGCCATAAAATCTCAAAAATAGGAATAAAAATATTTGTGTGTTAATAAAACGTTCCATAATAATTAATATATTTATACTTAAAACACAAAAAGAGATTAAAAAGGATGTTTTCTCACACAAAGGAAGTCATAGATGGAGTTGTACAAATTACAACCTTTTCTGAATAGCGGTGTTGAGGTTCTCCGCCGGTGAATCGTATTGAGACTTAAGAAATTTATTTCTACCTAAGCCATACAACGGAACCCGACCAAAAGTAACAAAATTACAACGAAATGTCGTGATATTGTATTTATAATATACGCAAAACCAAAATCCCTCTATTAAGAAATAACTTTCCTGTCAGTTTTAAACGCGTTCAGTTCCCAATCACAGTCAGCGTGTGTTATGCGATGACGGTAAATAAAGTGCAAGGTCAAACTTTACGCGTTGTAGGAGTGCACCTCAGTACTGACTGTTTTGCACATGGCCAACTCTATGTTGCTTTTTCCCGCGTTAGTAGCCCCCGTAACCTTTTTGTGTACACACCGGCTAAGCCTAATTATTATATATTAATAAGACTATTTAGTCTCCTCATTAATTGTAGTAGGATACAACATTTCCCATATAGTTTACTGTGATAGAACATTTCCACGCTGCCATATTGAGGCCCGACCTGCGTCTGCTCGTGAAGTCTTCTGCTGAATGGGCCCCAGAGGAAATGACCTTTGTAGGAGCAGCCGTAGGCCGTAACAGAATGCTTCGGTGGTTTGGTCATGTAGAAAGAATGAACGAGGAAAGAGTGACAAAACAAATTTATTTTTCAGAAGTGAACGGCAGGGTCGGGATGGGACGCCCTAGACGAAGGTTTATCGACCAAATCGGCGATACATTAAAAATGGGCCAGATTAGGAGTACCCTTAACCGACGAGCGTGTATGCGTAGATATATGGATGTAAAAGAGGCGAGAGAGGTGTGTCAGGATCGCGCCAAATGGAAGTCCGTAGTCTCTGCCTACCCCTCTGGGTGACAGGCGTGAGTGTTTATGTATTATATATGTATAAAATATTTTTCACCATTATCACCCGCGAGTCTCATCAAAGTTTTGACAGCGTGTTAATGTACACACGCTGTACCAAATGTGATTGCTTTCAATCTGTAATATTTCCCACTAGCTGGTTAAAAGTACTGTCTGAGATATTACGACGCCCGAGTAATATGTAGTAGTCTGTATCTTTCTTTGCCAATGTTTCTCTGTGCATTTTCGTAACATCATCTATAAAACATATACCTTATGCAGGTGACATATCATTAATATGCTTCACATAACTTCCTGCCGTACAAAGGTTTTCAGTAAATGGAAAATTACGCTGTATATGTGCCGTATATTTTATTATTCGTTGAAAGCCCTGGGTAACTACGAAATATCGTTCGAGACG